GTCTGACGCGTCTGCCTCCGCGACCCGAAAGGAGAAGCGGCGATGGAAGATGAAGATGAAGATGATGAAGTGCTGAACTTTTTCAGCAGGCTCTTTCCTCAAAATGTTTAATTAACTATTGAAAAGGCAAATAACTCCAGTCCATTTCCTCGTCAAATCTTTAACTTTGGTAACTGCTATAAAACTAAACTTTACCATAAGCCTATTAATACTGATTAATATCTCAATTTCAACTTGCAGAATCATGTAGAAAATAAACGATCTGTAGCGAGGGCTTCAATAGATAAAGCTGAGAACTTCCGCAGTAACGGTTTTCTTGAAGAAAAAATAAAGCACATTAAATTAACCTTATATGATAACAATAATTATCATATTAAATTCCTTCAAAATATTATAAACTGTAGAATAACAAACTTCGAATCAACATATAAAACCAAAAATGTATATATAGCGTCTTAAATAATAAACCGCACCTGACTTTCGCTTATGGCAAAAAACTTAGTGAAAAGATACGAAATTCACTTAATACTGAATATAACATTTAAGCAATGTATAAAAGTTCTAATAAACCTAATACTAAATTGTTCCTCAAAATAAAAATTCGCTAGGCTATGGGAGGGCACGGGGTACAAATTAGCATATAACAGTGGGGAATACTACATAGCAGAAATGGGGAAAACCGCCACTCAAAAATCAAATATCCGCCTGTCTAGTTGGGGAAGATGGATGATCGCGGACGAGAATGAAGGGTTAGTAAAACTGAGGCATATATATATCATTATGTTAATAAATCATTACGTTAGTTATGGAAAATTCTGTATACGGAACACAACAGGAACAGAATCATTGAAAGAAAAAAAACTCACATGCCAAGACAAAGATGGGCGATCAACGACAAACGCCTATGGCATGTTCGAATAGGGCACCCTAGTCGAAAACAACGCCCCCCTCCCGAATAAGCCAAGTTGCGATCAAGCCACAGCAGAAACGAGAAGGACGCTAGCATACCAGAAACATCAGGCAAGGAAACAAGGCTTTGCAAGAATGTCAACCACGATTAAGGACATTGACAACAGTGCATCAACTTGATGAACTTAGCTCAAGGTACTAAGCAGCAGCATAGACGGAGAGCTTGTCCAGGGGCTGAACAGACTCCGCATCTGCAAAGAGCAACTCTCGCATGGTTTTGCATGTCATAAAAGGTGGTTTATGTACCGCTGTTCCATAATGCTGTGCCAGTTTGCAAAGGGTTTCGCAAAACGGAATTCGAAAACAGAAATCAAGCTGAACAGAAAAATGAGAAGTTTACGAAACGTACGCTTCTTGTTTTCACATTCGCGCAGGTGCTTTTCTTGTATTTCGAACAGCAGCGGTTGGTTGCTTTGGGGCATCCGGCTACCAACCCTAAGCTCCATCTTTCCTCCTCGACCATAGATCGGTACCGCCTCCAACCCCGTCAGATTGTTCCTGAAAATCGCGAAGCGAAATCATGATGAAAATGTAAACTTAGTGACTTTATATCCAGTTTTACCTTATGAGCAGCAACGACGATCGCATGTGGTAATCAGAAGGCAAAAATCCGACCCGCACCGATACCTTCATGGCCGGCTTCAACAAAAACGAGAGGGTGAACCTCGGCACCGGAATACCGACCAGCTTTTCCAGTTCCCTACGCATTGCGGGCACCGGGCTTTCAGGCTTCGTCTGAAATGAACAGACATTTATGTGAATTTTAAAACTTAAATATTTGATTCAGTTGTCATCTTACATTGTACAGTTCTGAATCACGAAGGCTGAACATCAGCACGTCATCCATTTCCACGTATCCAGTTAGTGGTGATACCAAGCTAAAAAGGAACAACGATTAGGTGATCGAATAAACTTGTCACAAGTAGTTACTCTTCCTGTAAAAGCTTCAGCAGCTCTTCTGGGTTCGGATAGATCGTCAGCGGTATTATTTGAACAGCTAATAACTGGTTGGAAGGATTTTGCAGTGTCAGGTTCAAAATCGTGAAGTTGCCCAAGGCCGTAACTGGAAAATTCACCACTTGTTGTTGTAGCAAATGCGGCCAAACCAGATTTGAAGTGACCGGCACAGCGAGACCTTTGACGATCGATGTTTCCAGAATCAGAGTGGCATTCAGTCTAGAATAATACGGCAAATTTACGGCATATTACCATGCTATGCTCAATTTTTACGGCTAAATCGACGCTTAGGAGAATAAATTACGATATGATGGTAATCAATAAGGGTACTAAATGGTTGACGACTGATGATACATTTTATAATCCTCGTATGAAGAAACCACTGATGAAGAATTTGATTACTGTGATAGGCCCGATGAACGATCATTCGTGGGCGGGATCAGGGATGACAGAAATGCTTACATCAGAAG